GGCCAACCAACTGGCCTGGTGTGAGCCCCACCATCTCTTTCTGGGTGACTAGCAGTGCCTCCTGCTTCTACTGTCCTCAAGAGATCTTGGCAGTGAATCTTTTACACTTCACTTAGATGAAGCACCTACAAATGGGTAGGTTCTCTCTCTCTCTCTCTCTCTCTCTCTCTCTCTCTGCTCAAGTGTTTTCTTTCTCAGAAGCCACAGAAAGGAGAGCAGTTATTTTTCTGCCAAGGTCACAAGCAAACCTCTAGAGAACCTCAACTTGGTTTCTGGAGCCTTTCTATAGCACCCAAATTTTCAATCTAAACTTTGAAAAAGTGAGCAAAACTTTCTTTAGAAAATGATGTTAATTTCTGTGCAACTTTAATGCATTTTGTGTGACCTTATATATAAAACATCAACTATTGTAACATGAGAACACATAAAATATTTTTAATTATAATTTAAAATTATTAAAGTATACTCAAAAGTACATACTTTTTTCATTTATTCTTACTTTTTGGAAAAAGTAATTTTTTTGTTTTTGTTTTTTCAATACAGGGTTTCTCCGTGTAGCCTTGGCTGTCCTGGAACTTGCTCTGTAGACCAGACTAGCCTCAAATTCAGAGAGATCCATTTGCCTCAGCCTCCCAATTGCTGGGACTAAAGGCATGCGCCACCACCACCCAGCAGGAAAAGTAATTCTTAATGAAAAAAAGGTAGAAAACAAGTAAGAACTGACACAAATGTAATCTTCACTGCCATTGGTAGTCCATCACAGTAACCATCACAAGTCCACAAGGTGTTTCTAAGTCATTGGTTTCAAATACCTCAACTTTTCCTTAGTTGATTTTACTTGTAAAATAAAGACTTATTTATAACGTAGAACAGATAAATCAAAGGTAAAGTTATGGAAAAATGCCAGATAAATTATTAGAGAAAAACAAAACGCTGTACTTTGTAACTTGTCATAAAAATGTAAAGAACAATAAATATAAAATGAGTGGAATAAAATATTTCATTCTAAGCTCATGCTGTGTAGAATTCATATTTCAAGAAAGATGTCTTCATGAAATTATAAAAACTACAGCACTATTTGTGATTCCAAACCCTGGCTGCAGAGCCTGTTCCCATGGACTATGGGTCTTTACCAGATAGAGGTCACTACAAGGTTCATAACAAAAACAAAATCAAACACCAATAATAGTATAAGGGGGTTAGAACACAAACGGAAAGGCACACATGAAGAAGCATGTTAGCATGACGAATGTGAAAGATGGAAGAATTCGCAAGGGGAGAGAGCTAGCGCTGATGTGCTGTCTGCTCCCTGTACTCTCCATGCTGATATGACTTGCTGACCATGGCATGAGTCATCTCTTGTGTTTAAATTTACCTTCCCCAGTGTGTCACAGATACCCTTCTGCCTGGAGTCTTTAGAAATGTCTATGAAATGTCAACAAGCAACAAATGAGATCCTGACACAATTTTCATCTAACCGTTTTACTCAAGTTGGCATAGTCTGCTCCAGCTCTGACATCATACCAGTAACAAAATCATATATGACTTAAATCACACATGCGTGTTAGCCTATTAAATTTAGACTGCACCTTTCCCAGTTAATTAATGGAATGAACTAATTTATAAAATAGTATTTCCACTTAAATACCAGAATATATTTATCAAAGATAAATAATTTTACACATCCAGCTATTTCTGATAAAAGAGCTAATATGACTGGTTTAGTTTAACCCTAAGTCTTTTCAAAACTGTCACAGGTATTTGATTGAAAAGAAGAAAATGTAAAACTGAACCACTTGGTCTTTGACACTAATTTAACAAGTGTAATGAAGACCCCTGAGAACGCAGTCTGCATCCCGACAGTTCCTTCTGAGCATTCAGTAAGTGGTAGAAACCATGCTGCCCTTGGCATGGAAATCATGGCCAGGGTCAAGGTCCTGGGGAAGGATACGGTCAGTGCCTTGGAATATCACACAACCTTTCACCAGCTCTCCCATGATGCAACCCACTGACCAGATATCAACTGAAAATAAAATGAAATGATAAAATTATGAAGTGTCATGAACAAAACAAAAGTGAGGAAAAAGGAATTCTAACAGTATACTAGACACACAAATATGGAAAGTAAGTGGCTTGCTAAGGGTGAACTTTTTACACAATATGATGATTGCTGACCTCTACTTTAGCCTGCAGTTTGAAGCAATCTGTGGTTTTAGTGCCAAAGGGTCCAATACTTTACAGCTTAAAAACAAAACAAAAAAGGAACAAACAAACAAAAAACCAAACACAAAAAGTGCCAATGAACATGAAATTCTCAGGGCTACATCCCCCCAGCCCTACCCCAGCCTCCATGGCTGAGTGCTGGGTCTCTCCTTGTGAAGGATACAGTCTCTTCCTGGGAACAGGACTTTATGGAGGACCATTTCTGCCATGATGCACCCGACAGACCAGATGTCCACTACCAAATATCAGGTGATTAAAAAACAGCCAGAGAGCTTTGCATCTCTGTTTCTAAACCACCTCCCAAACTTGGGCAGCCCCCGTAAACACTCATCAGGTGGAACTTTGGTAAATCTGAATGACCATTTTTAAAAAGCCTCAACAGAAAGGCAGCAGCCAGTAAGGAAGGGCTGGATGTGGGGTAAGGCCCTTCTTGAGCATGGTTCTGCAGTGTCTGTCTTCCTGTGTGGGGCCAAGCATGGGACTTGGCTAAATCTTGTGGCTCAGCCAGGGAAGGGAGCACTAAACACAGGTAGCAGCTGGAGGGCACTGTGCCTCTCTACAAAACATCCATGTAAACTCACAGTCAAACTCATCTCAAAAGACTTTAGCAAATTTCCATTGTTGTTCTTTGCTCTTATAAATAATCACAAATATTTGTTAAAAATGAAAGTTTAGCTTATATTTAGTTGACACTGCTAGAACAAATGAAGTTTGATGTGTGTGTGTGTGGGGGGGGGGAAGTAGTGAAACCAGTCTACAGTGTTGGTGACCAGGGGACACAGAACCCAGGGCTATGGGCCATGTGGGTGTGCCCACTGAAAGCTGCACACTCAGCACTGCGCTTCTGTGAGCACACGATGCTCTGAACAAAAGTGAAAGATTTTAAGTCCAGCATGGTAGCACATGCCTTTAACTCCAGCATTCAGGAGGCAGAAACAGGTAGAGTTCTATGAGTTTGAGGACAGCCAGAGTTAAAAAAAAAAAAAAAAAAAAAAAAAAAAAAAAAAAAAAAAGAAGAATTTGACAAATGGAAATACAAAATAAATGATTTCTAATCTGTGGATTACAGGCATCTATATACAGCACAGTGCTCAAACTGTATCTCACTGTATCTCACACGGCCCTTGAGGAAGGACACGCCAGTGATGACGGGAATACTACTTTACTTACCATTCTCTTTGTAGCCCATGCCCAGGATGACTTCTGGAGCCCGGTAATAGCGAGTCACCACATAGGGAGTCATCATAAAGTTGGTGCAGGCTGTCCTTGCCAAGCCAAAGTCGAGGATCTTGAGAGTACAGTCTGATTTTACTACAATGTTGCTAGGCTTCAAATCCTAGGGAGAAAAAATGTTTTAGCTATTTAAATGAATCACAGCATACTAAATACACAATTTCAGTCAAGGGGCTGTGAGTAGCTACTGAACTATGTGAGAATAGGAAACAGGGAGGTAGAATGTTATTATGGAATGCAAGACCCCCCCACCTCTAAACAAGTCAGATGGCCTTTACTACCACTTGTTTCTTTGCTCAAAACTTGAGAGTCTACAAGTCTCTTATATAACATGGAGTGACACATGCATACAACCTACACACACACACACACACACACAGCCTCTGGGATCCTCTTATCTCTAAATGATAATAATAGCTAAATCAATGGTAATGTTTAGGGGATAACTACACACAAGAAAGATTGTGTTTGTTCAGTAAAGATGAAATTTTTGTTTTCTAAACACTTTTGATCTGCAGCTAGCTGAATCTATTGATACAGAACCCAAGGGTATGGAGGTATTTCAGCCAGCAGTCCTTGGCATCTAGGCTGCATGAGCAAGGAGAGCTGCAGCAGCACTGCTTCTAACAAAGACAAACAAACATAGAACTGGAAACCACTCAACAGTGAAAGCCTTCATTTGTCAAAGGAGCCCTAGAGAATGGGAAAATAGCCCCTGGTCTAAAGCAGCCCCTCTGTCTAAAAACTGTACTGATGGGAACAGCATTCCACTTTTCTGCCCTCTGCTGGACAACTAGGATAATAAAAATACAGTTCTGGATGTCTGTCAGGACAGTGGGTGCTCTGTGCAAGGTGTCACCCCAGGATTGTGAGAGGCAACTGATGAAAGGAGTAACCCTGAAGATCCCGCATTTACTGAGATGCAGCTGGGTGTGTTTTACTATGTGGTGGAAAATGTAGGGCTATAAGAGTAAGAAGAACACAGTCTCAGGCTGGGGAGATGCTCAGCTGGTAAAGTGCTTTGAAAGCATGAGGTCCTGAGTTTGCTCCACAGCACCATGTAAAAGGCTGGACATGACAGAGCATATTTGTAATCCAACACTGGGAAGGGAGAGAGCCAGATCTCTGGGGCTCATCCCAGTGAGAGACTCAAAAATCAGGATGGGCAGTTCTGGAAGAA